GATGTTCTTAATAGTTTGGTATGAACATTTCTATATATATAGGTATTTGTTCTTTTTAAAATTTAAATTACTACATATGATAATTAGAATATGGATACAAGTTATTCCTTAGAATGAAAGAGAATTTCGAATAAGCTTTTTTTGAAGTACATGGGAATCGAACTGCAACACACACACCCACTAAACACTACACACCCCACCACCACTAGGCTAGCCCTAGTGGGTTGAATTCCGAATAAGCTTGCAATATATGATATAAACTTTTATTTTAGAAATTATGATTATGTGCAATATATGATATAAAATGTTATTATTTTAGAAATTATAATTATGTGCAATGTATGGTATAAGACTTAATTCAGGTGCAATATATGGATCTTATTGAATAATTATGAAAATTATGGAATTATAATACTCTTTAAGAAAAACTTTCCAAATATGTGTTTTAATGATTGAATTTGAATATTTATAACTATGATAATTGATGTGATGGGATTATTTGAATGACGATGATTGGATTTGAATTTTTCTATGATGAATGTTGAAGATTTGAATTATTATATCCTTGAACAAATTGGAAAGTTATGATGAGGATCAGATTTGGATTTTATGGTGATGAATGTTGAAGATTTGAATTATAATATCCTTGAATAAATTGGAAAGTTATGATGAGGATCGGATTTGGATTTTACTGTTATGAATGTTGAAGATTTGAATTATCATATCCTTGAATAAATTGGAAAGTTATGACGATGATCGGATTTGGATTTTACTATGATGAATGTTGAAGATTTGAATTGTTATATAAATTCGAGAATTTATGATAATAGTTGTTTGAATTATGATACTTTGGAAAATTATAATACCCTTGAGTAACTCATTTAGAGATGATAATACTTAAAGAATAAATAATTATGATTGAATCTTTCCTGATTGTGTGTGTTTGTAATAAATTAATGGTGGGAGGATAGCTTTGGGATGGTACCTTCCAAAGTGATGAACACAACTTTTGGGCTTTATGCCTCCGATGTGAAATTGATGTGAAAAAGATTGTATCCGTTCTTCCCAAAGTGGTATCTGGTAACAGTGGTTTTTTCCCGGGATACTAGTAGCAACTTTGGGAAGAGGTGTGCACACTAGGAAGATGTGAATTGATTATGGCCAATTTTGATTATACGTGGCTGGTAACAGTGGTTTTTTCCCGGGTCACGGGGTAGACTGGCAGGGTTTCCCGGGTCTACCATGGTTCTCTTCCCACTAAATATAATGAACTTAAACATTATTAATGAAAATTGTTATTTGATTTGATTATGAAGAATGTCATTGAGTTGTGAATATTATCATATTATGATTAATGTTGTGCTAAATATGTTAGTTGACAATTACCCTTATACACTAAATGGACTAAATAATCTTAAACATGATTAATAATGATATTAATACTTGATTTGAGTTATGATTAAATGACTTATTTGAATTATTGCTTGATTTATGATTAAATTTCTTATTTGAATTATTACTTGACTATGATTAAATGACATATTTGAATATTGCTTGAGTTATGAATAAATGACATATTCGAAATATTAATTGAGTTGATTATGTTGATTATTCTTAAATAAATGTCTTGATTGATATTGGGTTATATTATCCTCGGTTTGTATCTTGATTGGGATTACCAGCTTTGCTGACTTTTGTGTTTGTTTGACTGCAATGATCCTGCGGCTGCGGGGGAGCAGATTTTCAGTGAAGCATGTTGCAAAGGATGGGGCTAGCTGTGGGCAGTGAGGATCACGACTCGGATATTTCTAGCTGTCATAAATATTATGTAAAAAAAAAAAAAAACTGTAGTCTTAGATTTTTATTTGAATGTAGTAGAGTTAGCCTTGCACTTGTCCCTGTACAAGTGCGGCGGTAACACTTCCCAAATTTGATTATTTTGAACTTCCGCTGTTATTTATAAAATTATTGAATTTATTTATGCTATTATAAATTGTTAGAATTTGGGGTGTTACACATGTATAGGATTTTATTTTGAAAGCCCATGGTCATTTGTATATCTTGATTCATTGGATGAACTTAGCCTATGCTCATGCCTTTGGTTACACCTTTTGTTGATGGGAGCCAAGGGAATGATCATAGTGTTTTGTAAGCTAAGTTCTATGATTTGTAAAGGATATGTAATGTAAATGATGCCTACTTGAAATTCAATATATGCATGCTTGTTATGTATTGAGTTGTTGAATTGGTTGGGCTGAAAATCAATTAGGTACCCTTTGTTTAAACTGGTAAACGATGAGAAAACAAAGGTCATGCTGCCCAAATTCTAGCTAAATCTCATGAGGAGAGGTTGGATGAGTGCTAGGATTTAGTATTGGGGCATGGACAATTGGGGTTTGTAATGGGGATGCATCTTCCCCTAGGCTTGGACTTGAGAAATGTGGGAATTGGAATTCCCTGGCAGCGCGCTTAAGCGCCCAGGAGCGCGCCCAAGCGCCCTGCTGCCCCTGTGAGTGCCAATGCATTCGGCCTCCTCGCGCTGGAGCGCCCAAGTGGGGGCTTAAGCGCTCAGGATAGCGCGCTGGAGCGCCCTGGCTCGCGCTTAAGCGCCCTTCGCTGCAGAAAGATGGGATGCTTACTGTCCCCTCGTGTTTTAGCGCCCAGTGTGAGGCTTAAGCGCCCAGGGTTGCGCGCTTGAGCGCCCTGGTCCGCGCTTAAGCGCCCTTAGCCACTGTAGGAGGAGATGCTTCTGTCTCTGTGCGCTAAAACGTCCCAATGGGAGCTTAAGCGCCCAGGATAGCGCGCTTGAGCGCCCTGATGCGCGCTTAAGCGCCCATTCACACTGAAATACCTGATGCTTCCTGCCTCCGTGCGCTTAAGCGCCCAGGTGGAGGCTTTAGCGCCCGATAACGCGCGCTTGAGCGCCCGGTAGCGCGCGCTTGAGCGCCCGGTAGCGCGCTGAAGCGCGTGGGGCCTGTGACCAACATTCTCTTGTGTTGCTTCAAATTGTTCTAACTTGGGCTACAGTGCTCCGATTTGAGCGCGGTTTGAAGCCACGCATAGCTAATGAAGAGATCTACAATATAGCAGAAGTTGTGAAATAAATAGGAAGTAAATTAATGATTTAAAAATGGAATAAGAACATGATGTTAAACTTAATTTATCTGATTCCGCATGGTAATACGGTTATGATCACGAAATTGGGTATTATAAATTCGGCATGTTTTAAAATGAAAAATTTATCTGGATTTTAATTGAACCCATGTGATTGTAACTGCGCTTAATATCATAATGCGATGTTAACAAACCGGTTCTAGAACGGGGTGTGACAAAAAGTGGGATGCATTCAAATGTCCTTTTATCACCGTCCTTGTTTCTTGTTGGGAATACATGGTATGATTTTCAATAATTATTGTCTATTGTATATATATATGAAATGTACATCTGATTGGCCAAAATTATCTGTCATTATAAGACATTTTAGAAAAGCAAGAAACTTATAATTTTTTGCACTAAGTTGTGGCACTTGTTTATCCATGATTGTTAGAATTTCTGTAACCTGAATGTAACCATGCCCTAAATTCATGCTTTGTTTATTTTATTTTATTTTTCCCTTTTCATTGTTCTGAAAACCGAAGAAAATGGTGATGTCTGGTTCACATTAAATTTCAAATTAATGACAAGCAGTCAACGCATTCATTCTATCAAATTACTGTATCAGTAATTAACCTTTGGCAGGTTAATTTATTTGAAACATGCATGTTTGCTTCTCTTCCGATTGTTACTTAGTGCATCTTCTTAATTTGCATTAGCTTTCCAACACTGATTAAAAACATTGTGTTAACTTTACCAAAAGAAAAAAGAAAAAAAGATGAAATTTCTGTGTTGATTCTGGGAGGGGGGAAGCATGTCAGGGAAAATTGTATAGATATGCAAATTAGAGAAAAATGCATGTATATTATCAGAATGCATGTATTAGATGTCATAAATTAGTTTAGCAATAGATGACAAAGTTAGAATCGAAGCCTTAATGTGGCTACTCCTCTAGGGTAATGCATGTGGTGGTATCATCAGTGAGACTTTTTTTTTTTTTGTCTTAACTGCACCTTTAATGAGTATGTCGGGGTGTGTGAGACTTTTGGATGGTAGGGGAAAGAGTGGTTTGTAAAATAATGGAGCGGGCAAGTATCTTCCTTGACTCAACCTTGGTTTCCCTTAATTTGATGATTTTAATATTCATCTTGAAAAGTAGAATAGATGTGCATACCTTATCATAGGAAGAACATCAAAAAGGGATCTGGATTGACTTGTGTTATTGTTCATGGTAGTTTTAAAACACCAATAGCTGAGGCCACTAAGGGGGAAATGACTTGTGTTATTTGCAATTTTGTTTAACGAAGTTGTCCAAACTCCAAAGTCTGTGAGTGTAATTGTTGCATGGTCTTAAAGTACAATTTTTATGATGTTTTGGACAAGTTTTTCATGGACACTCAATAGTACTGAATTTTTAATGATAATTATTAATCTATACTCTCAGGACACTCCAAACCTTTTTCTTTCTTTTTTTTTTTTTTAGGAATGCTATGTACGGTGATCAGGGTCAACTTACGGAAAAATTGAGGTCCAAACCAATTAAACAAGCACAGATTGATTTTTGGGAAAAAAATTGGTCAACTCGAATGAAACCAACTCCATCAAATCTGGTTTGGTTTGGCTTGGGTCATGGGATTGTCTAGATATTTATATATTTTTATAAAAAAATTATAAAAAGTAAAAATAAAATGAAAAACCATAAAAAAAGGGATTTGGGTTGAGTTGGTCAGTTTTCATATTAGTTGACCTCAGACCCGAATTAAGAACAATTGAGTTTTACTTATTTTCACCCAATTTGACCGGATACCTAAATCAAACAAACTTTTGCCTCAAGTTGGGTTGGTTAGTTTTGCATGTTCACCGGTCCCGTGATCACCCTAATGCTGTACTTTTTCTTTTGCCTTTAGATCAGTCTGAATCCTGAATTCATCACTTGAGCATAACACTTCAAAACCAGATGTGAGTGTCCTTGCTGGGAGCTGAATCTGCGAAGGGGTACCTGGCAGAGGTACATAGCAGTAAAGAGAAATCCTGTATTTTGGTGGTTGTGTAGATGCACTAGCAGTTGGAATTAGAATTGGAATATTGGTGGAGATGGCAAGTAGAGGACGTGGACGAGGTCGAGGACGAGGGGGAGGGGCAAACTATGCCACTCAAGTGCCTTTTGTACTTTTTCCTGAGGTAATTATATTCCATTTCGTACCATACTTCCCTTCATTCTCTCTTCTCTCTCACAGAAATGAAGAGAATGTGAAGTAAGCTAAGAGAGAAACAGAGAGAGAATTCATAGCTCTGATCTGATTGTGTTTACTAACTGTAACTAACAGAGCGCTAACAGAAATGTTACACCTCAGCCTTAACACTAACAGAACACGTTAGCTGAGATTGGGCACAGAAAATTACTGCTTCTGAATTTACTCTCGATACTTCTCTAATTCTCTCTCTCTACCCGATCCTATCCCCATGATAAAATTCTACATATCAATTGATTGGTGTGACTGCTCTCTGCTCATAACTATCAATCTGATCTGATGTTGCAGGATGTTAATTTGCCTGATGTTAAACTTGATGATATTGATGCTAATATGAAAAAGTTGCTTAACTGGAATTATAAGTTTCAGAATTATTGGAAAGCCTCTCCTTATCTTCTGGAGGAGACAACCTTAAAGAAGGGTAAGCATTAAGTAGTTGTGTTTACGTTATTTATGTATGTATTGTGAGATGCTCATAACAAAATCTTTTACGTTAATACATAACTTTATCATTGTGTCACATCTGAACTTATGATATTAAAGGGTTCCTCAAATATGAGCAGGTTTGTACCATAAAAAGCTAGGCATACTGTTTCCAAAACTTTTTCGATGCTATTATGGAATCATATTTGTCTCTAAATATCTGGCTCCTCTGTTCCCCACGTTACTAGCTTTTCTTATGTTCAACTTATTTGGAGTATATTAATTTTCTTCTATTTTTGTCAGAGAGCCAAAAGATGCACGTACCGAGATTTTCTGATAAGAAGAGGACCGTGTTTACTCGTGATTCTCTGTCGCAGGTTTTAATGTTAAACGATTTTCCTAAGGAGTTGATTCAAGGTGTGAATAATGGAAATTCTTTTCAGGGCAGTGTCATGTTTTATATAAAAAAATGCTTATGCTTTTCATTATGCATTTGAGGTTATTGTTAACAAATGATTTAATCTTAAATTGGTATTTTCAGGTACCTCTAAGCGGATGCCAAGCCGGAAAAAATTTCGATGGAACCCAGAGTTAGGTTTGATGATTTCATATGACCTTTCTCTTTTTATTTGGTATTAGTCATTGACTATCTGCAAATGTAAGTTATTCAGGTTTTAAAGATTAACACAGAATAAGGTTCATATTCCTAAATAGATCCCAGTCTCTTTAAAGAACTTTTTGTTATTTTAATTACTTAAGGTGGTGTATATGCTGTTGTGCTGAGCACTATATATGTACATATGGTTTGACCATCTAGATTATAATTTTCTGCTACTGAAACTGTTTTTTATTGGGTTAAAACATTTTGTGGAAGTTATATGGGATATTATTGATGTTCATGAGCTCAATCCTTGTTTACTTATAATCATATCAAAGCCTTCAGATTTTTCTTTAGACTGATTAAGATGTTTGCGTGACAGAGATGAAGAAAATTGATTTCTTTGAACAACTAGAGAAAAAGGACCAGGTAGAGCACCTATACTCACAATTATTTCCTATATTTCTTTCATGTCAACAAGATAGTGGTAAAACTTTCAGTCAATTCATCTATGGATTCTGTATTTGAGTTGGTCAAGTTACTAAGTGAATATATTTTGCTACTGGTGGGAATACGGTGGACGTACTGATTTCTTTCTGTATGACACTTGGAATTGCAATGGATTAGAAATATACCTTGGAATTGGCATTGGAACCTATAATTCCAAATTTCAGGTTTGGTATAGCCCCTAAAGTTATGATTCTAATTCCTATTAACATTTCCAAAAAATTGAGATATAACTAAATAAAGCTCTTCTCGGTTCTTCATCTAGATCCTAAGTTTTTTAATTCAAAGAAGCAAGAGTTAATAGATGCCATCTCGAACTCACACATGTATCGTGTAATAAGTTATAGTGACCTCAGTTTGATACTTCAACAACCATTTCTGCTGTCTTCATCATCTCCGCTACCATTGCTGCCCCAACCATCATTTCCACCACCTTTGCCACTCTAAACCAACGCCATTGTTGTTACCACTGGTGCCAATCCTATTATTATTGCCTCCATCACTGTTTCCACCAATGTTGTTATCATCGCCGCCATTACAGCTGCCACCTCTATGATCATTGCCACTTCTGCTATCACCACCACTACTATTGCTGCAACTCTCCATTAGCACCATTGCAAGCATCGCTAGATGATGATTTTTGGGAGTAAAACCACATTTGGTCCAAATGAATATTGTTATATTTTCTTTTTTGATTTGTAGTGTTGGGCCCACTTCTCCACTGAAATCCTATGTCGATTATTCTTTCACTTGCAGGGCCAAGAGGATAAAGGTGAAAAGGAAAAGAAAGATGGAGAAAATGAAGATGAAGATGAAAATGCAGGAGAAGAAGAGGGGGAAGAAGATTTTAGTGATGATGATTATAATCAGGTTCCCAAATAACCTCTACTGTGATGTGTTAATTTTGCCATTCTTGGACTCAAGTTGGTTCTCTCCATAATGCAATAATAATACGTTAAGAAAATGCTATTTTGGAGTTTTATCGACAATTTGCTTGTGTAGGCGAAGTCGAAGCAATAACAAGAATATTTCTCGAGTAAACAATAAGAATAATATAAAGAACACAAAGATAGAATTCAACAACCGTACGGCATTCACAAAAGCTTATCCAGCAAAATTTTCAAATTGAAGTCAAAGAAGGTTAAAAGTAACTAAGCCAGCATCGACTATGAAAAGCTTGCATTTTGTGGTTTCCCATGTCTTTTTTGAAACTTTTTAGTTAAACTCTGTCAAGGGGTTTGTGAAGCATGACCTTTAAAATTTTAAGATAGATATGCTGAGAACACCTATAAGTTGATAATGGAAGCAAGTTTCATAGCTGTAGCAGTATATCATCTTTCCCCTTCTTTGTATTGTTGGATAAATTAAGTGTCTCATTAACATTGATAACCTTGCCAAGATGGGCTTTGTGATGATGCAGGATCCTGCAGATCCAACTGATGATTCATTAGCTCTCCACTCTGCCCCCACTGACACACCAAACAAAATAAATAAAATTTGAAAAAAATAAAAGAGTAGGATAGGAAAAGTAAATCAGAAAATGAAAACCTCAAGGGTTTGGTCTATCCTTTTCTTGCTCCATGCTTTCTGAGGTTTCTTTAATATTTTACAAGTGAATTCTATATGAAACATGGCATTTGTTCAAATGCTAAGCATATTAAGCTTTTCCTCTTTGAAAAGTAAAAAAATTGAAAAAGGAGATAAAAGTAGGAAAGGAAAAAAATTAGATGAGAATCATGAGGATTCGGTCTATCTTTTTCTTGTGCTGAGATTTGTGAGTTATCTTTAAAATTATAGAATTAAATTCTATATTAAACTCGTTTTTTGTTCAAATGGTACATACACACATTACAAATTCTTCCTTTGATATCAGATGCCCTTATGCATTAAACAATTGTTTGTAAAATTGGATTTTAAAAGTTGCTTGATTTGACATGGTGGGGGCATAAGGGAACGAAGATTCACTTGATGGAATTTTTCAGTTGTTTGGGGGGTTGATGGTAGTAGTTTGAAGAGTTATTTCACTATTTTCCCTTTTCCTTTTTGTTCTGGGTGTGGTATGATTTGTTTTACATTATGAAGCATACAGTGTCTAACTCAGTTAAATCTTGCAGAATGAATATTTCGATGATGATGAAGATGATTATAATGATGCAGATGATGGGGATGGTATTGTAATTTTACTCTTGCAATTCATTTCTCATTTCTCATTCATTTTAATAATCTTACATCCAAATTCAACTGTGGCATGTTTTGGTGTAATCAACGACTCAATTCTCAGCTCAACTACTATTTGATACATATATTTTCATTTATTGCAGATGAAGGTGTCTATTGAGAATGATTTTCTGCTAATCCTGTGACAGCTTCCATACTTATTGCTTCGTTACTGTTATAAATTTGGAATTCAAATTGTACCTAAGCCTTTTTCTTGCTTTTTGGCTTTTCCTTGGCTGCTATTTTAGCTTATTGAATTACATATTGGAGTATACCATCTTGTAAATGTTTAAATAAGTATACTTACTTGATCAGAAAGATATATGGTTGATAGAGAAGTTCAAAAAGTTAATCCTAGTTTTGTTTTTACTTGTCCTATTGCTGGTAATCTCTAATTTCATCAGGCATCCAAGGATTTGAGTGGTTTCTCGCCTTTCCTCATTTACTGCTGTATGATATTATATTACTCGAATGCACTCATTAACTCAATAATTTTTATTTTAAATTTTTAATTTGAACTTTTAATTCAATGATGTTATTTGGGATTTTATCCCTAATACAATAATAATTACCGTATTGCATGGAGGAGGTCATAACTCATAAGAATCTATACCCAAAAATTGATTTTGGACACGGAATATATTGATTTTAACTTAAGTTATTTACATTTCATCCATCTTACATAAAAGGTTTGATAGATTTGCACAAAATATTTGAGATAATGTTATTCACTATGTTTACTTAGGTACCGTATGAAAGAAAATTAATTCGTTAATCTTTATAATTTGGGGTTCGATAACATTTTGCTGGGATATTTTTGTTCTTCATAAAGTAAAAAAGTTATGTAAGAAAGGGTATTTTGTTTTTTTAATTCCAGAAAGGGTATTTTGTTAATTGAAGTTGATCCCGTTCTCATACCATTATTATTGTATCTATTTTTATTAAGCTAATATGCAATAATATGTTATTAACTTCAAGTTGGTACAACTATATTTTTAAATCAATTGTTTATTATATTCAGCAAGTAATTTTCTACAAAAACAATTACTTTTAATTCTTATTGGAAGTACTTAAGATTGTAAATTATCTACCTCGAATTCTATGAGCAATGAAGTTGAGAAATATCTAAATTGACAGTTAAAATAGTTATTTTCAACATATGACTAAATTTTATATTAATCTATTTCTGCCATATGTTTATTAGTTTTACTTGTTCATAGCTTGCACAATTATTTATCTAAATCACTTCATTCAATATTTACGAATATTAATAAAAAAACTAAATATAAACATAAAAATTAAAAAAAATTAATTTTCTCACAGAAAATGAAAAGAAATAAAAATAAGACGTTAATAAAGTATAAGTTATTATGTTTAACAAAACAAAAAAAATATAAGTCATTATTTTTCCGACCACGACCAATGCATAAATTGTTACAAATAATGTATGATTTATTTCAAATTTTTAGCATCGTATTCTGTGGTGTATCACTAATTAAATAAATAAATTATATATTAATTTTAAACCCATTTTGAAGCCCTACTCTGAAAGCTTAAATCGTATTCAAAGTCGTGAACCTCTTCCACTGTTCCCTCTCGCTCTCACCTCACTCTCTCAGCCACCGCAGCTCGGCCACCGCCGGCAGCCACCTGGTAAGTATTGCTTCTTTGTTCCGGTTCTCCCTCACTCTTTATTCCGTTAGGTTTTCCTTCTTCATGTCTTTTTTCTTGTCATATTGAATCATTTAGGATCCTTTATTTACATATATTATGCTGAGATTTCTGCATTTATTTTTATTTCAATTTTTCTAATGTATTATTTTATAGGGATAGGATAAAATTATTCCGGTGTAAAAAAACAAGTCTTATACTCAATCTTCGTTGTTATAATTTAGGGTTTGGTGTTTGTGATTTTTTTTTTTTTTTATAACAGGTGTTTGTGATTTTAAATGATATAAGTTATATCATTCTAGGAGAGAGATAGTCACAAAAAAATGAATGAAAATAACAGGAGAGAAAAAGTGAGTGGTTTTTTTAATTTAAAATTTAAATATTTTTTTTTCTTGTGTCTGTCTCTCTCTTAAAAAGACATAGTGTTATGTCATTTAAAATGACAAACACTTTTCTCTATAATTTATTAGTCACTAGAGTTTGTTTTTAGATGGAAATTTCAATTTTTAATATATATTGTAATTTTATTTTATAAATGTATATGGACGTACAGCCTGTATCTTTTGGGTTTTCCATGATAGCCATAGTTTTCTCTGAAAAATTCAAAATTCTTCATCCCCTTCTCAAAACCCCAGTATCTTTTGGGTTTGTTAGAATCAATTGCACGTAGATAAGGATCACACATTGCATTCTATTTTCTTTCCAAACCATTCAAGGTATATTTCTCTAATACCCTAATTTTCTGCAATCACCTTTTGCTTTGAAATCATGGTGACGGTCATTCCGTAATTTACTTGTTCTTTATCCTCATAATACTGAGAAATCTGTTTCGATTTTATATTTGTTTGCTGTTATTGTTGCTTGGGTAGTGACTGAAAGTAAAAAAAAATGTTGGGAAAGCTTTTCATTCGAAAATCAAGACTAAAATACTCACGTTGGAGCTGTTTTGGGATTTTTTTTTTTTTTTTAATATTAATAGTTCTTTATGTGTATGTATGGGTCTATGATTTGATGTACACTTAAACTTCGATTAGGAAATGGTCTCCAGCCTTTGTGTCTCCTTTGATAGTCGTTTTTCTCATCTCTTTCTTTGCCCTCATTCTGTTGCTTCAATTTGAAATGATAAACTTAAAGCTCTACGGATTTAAGTTTATCATTTTAATTTCATTCTGAATTTATAATTTTTTTAATTATCGGCAACATGGGTATCTATGATATTTTGCTGGTATATATATATATATATATATAAGATTTTCTTACAAAATAAGATCTGTATAGGCTCTCTTCCTAACCCATTCATCGATTATCTGGATACTTCAGTATGAGAACTATCAAATTTATTGTTATTTGATTATATGGAGATTTAATTTTAAAAGCCTTAACTTTGTCTAGTGTTTAATCAAACATGCAATGATCAAAGTTATCCCTTTTCTTTTTGGTTGTGTTTAATCAATAATTAAAGAAGATAAATCTGTTTAATATGTCCACACACAAAAAAAAAAATCTATTTAATATTGCACAGTCCTTTCGGGTTCGATTCAGGGCCATATCTAGTGACACAAAGTTGTTGTCTTTCTTGCTTTGGTTGTTGCATGAATAGGAAAAAACCACATCTTTCTTGTAGAATTGTGTAGAGCTATCTGAATTCTGTGTTGTGCTGTTGGAACTGTGGTTTTCCAATTATCTGGTTTTGTAAGTCATATCTTTTTTTTTTTTGTGAATAATAAATCTGATTGTTTCTAACTTAGATTTTGACCTAGTTAATTGGGAGACTGAATTCATGTGAGTTCTCTTCAAGATTATGTTTCTGCTTATCATGTTTGTGGATGCTGAATAATTGTTTTAAGGGGAAATAGGGGAATTGGGTGGATCTGTTTAGGTGGGTCTGGTATACTTTTTAAGTAGTGGCATTGGCATCTAGCTATGTTAGATTATTTCTCTTTAGAGGGTGGAGGTGGAACCACTATCCAACTACTACCAACTGCATGGAAATATTATGTTAGTGGATCTATTTACTTAGGTCTGATACATAGATGCATTCTTGACTTGTTAAATTCTAAAGTAATGGCACTGAGTAGATATGCTGAGTTATATCTTTCCATATGGTAGAATTGGAAACTTTTTCCACCTAGTTACAACATGGGAATATTATACTCGCATGTGTGCATGATTCAATTTATTGATATACGGTATAACATATTTCCATCCTTTTGTTGCTTGGAGAATTATGGGATATATGCATATTAAATTCATGTGATGATAAAGGTAGCAGGCTGGCTTCCTTTAATGGTTGCTCAAATGGAATGTAGTTTAGATCATTGACGATTCTATTGGTTCTAGATGCAATTTCTGGAATTCAGCAAGCATTAGCTTTTAGTTATACTAATTATAGATGCATCAGTTGTATTGCAATATTGTTGGTTTGTCCTCAGAGACAATGGAAAGGAAACACTTGGATTACTCAAACTAAAAGTTGTCTGTTCTATATCCCTTATCTTTTTCTATCCCTCTTGTCTTGAGTCTAAGTGGTGATGGACTGGTGGTAACAAAGTGGTATTTCAAAGGCAATGAGAAATAAAGTTTTGATTCTGGAAACTATGTGAGCTTTAATCTTGGATTGTAATATCTCCTTTCTTTTTGTTCGCTTCAGTACAGCCTTGAATTCATCCATCGCTTGTGGTATTGTATGGTAAACAATATGTCGAATCTAGTATATCATATGTTCAGGCTTGGCTTATCTACAATGTTATCTATATTTATCATTGACATTTGTTTGCTGCCACTTTTTTTTGTGTGCATCCCTAGTGGTGTGTGTACACATGAATATGGTGAATTGGTATTGGTTTTTGCTGAAGCTATAACTATAACCTTGGATACTGTAGCTCTTTAATTTTCTTCCTGTCTTATCTGCATTGAGGAGCATGCCATGGTTGTCTTTCAATCATTATGTGTAAATTGATGCACTTCTCCATTTTGAATCAATTACATTTTTTATGTAACCTAATATTTTAGAAGGAATGCCATATTCTTCATTCCTGAAATCATACGTAAAATAAGATTACTAAAAGGAAAGAAATTTAAAATTTTATGATAGTGTGGCTAAAGTGGAATGTGATTTAAACTGTCTTGTGCCTTTTTTATTTAATAGGAAGTATTTACCTAAATTTTTAATATTAAGATGGGGATATCAAGTTTGAAAGGTGCATATAATCACAATATGGGATGGAGCTGGTGTTGAGTTTGGTAAACAACTATGAGAACTTGGGAGGAAAGAAACAATATGTCGACTGGGCAAGGAGTCAGGGCCAGTCCATAATTTCTGAAGATGATTTCTTCACAAATTCTGTGGTAAAGGGATACTAGAAAAAACATGTAGTTGCTGCCCAAATTTTTATGGAAATTTATTTCATTTTGTCAAGCATTTGTATCTGATTGTTTTATAAGATTTTAGGTTAAATAAAATCAAATTGGTTGGAAAACCAAGTTGGAACTTGGTATAGGTTGTTGCTTGAGATTGGAAAATTACAAACAGTTTAATAAAAATCAAGTATGGGCTTTTTTGTTTAACAAAAAAAATACACATAAATTTTTTGAAAAGCCCACCGGGCTGGCCTTAACCCATAGGGCTTTTGGCTCATGTGCCCCAATATCATTATGGGCTTTTTGGCCCTAACCCACATGGGCTAGGGTTAAATGGGCCGGGCTGGCCCATTTTGACAGCTCTACGTACGGGTACATGAAAATTGGTGTCATTTGAATGCTGACTTTGGAACCAAACTGCCAGATTGAGTACTCCTATTTGCTGTTGATAGTTTTGAATAAGTGTTAGTGGGTTTGTCTTGAATGTATAAACATGTGTATGATGAATAATCTTATAGCTGAAAGCTATTATTTGTTTATTTTTAAATTTTGTAATACACTAGGGAAATATTTGAGACATTTTTTCAGGTTTAAATATAATATTTTTGATTTCAGTGTATAAGAAGTGAGACTTGTTTTTTTTTTTTTTTGGTAATTTCTGTGTTGTTTGTTGTGGTTTTTAGCTGCTGGAAAATCTAGCGGGTAGAGCTTATAAATGAACAGCTTCAAACTTGTTTGATGCAGGCAAAAATATGAAGATTGTTTCAGTTGCACGTAGATCGTTAAATGACGATTTTTCACATTTGTTTAATAAGACCCATTTGTTCAGAGATCTTTCCACATGGGTGAATTCAGGTACTGTTTGACAATCTTATCAATTTTAGTGTAGATTCATAAGTCAATTTTACTGTAGATGCACAATATTACTTTAAATTCTTTGTGGTTTACCATAGGCTTTTTCTTATAGAGAGCTCACCTCTTGTATGAAAAACAGATCATAATAATATTTTTTCAGAGTTTTGTAACATAAGCTGGTGCAAACTGTTGTAACAGACTTAGGATTTAGTTAGACAGTTGTCTCCAGCTGTTCTTACCTAACTATAAATATTAGATCTCTGTTAGTAGCAGGCTCCCTGATATTAATTGATATTGTTAGATATATTAGATAGTGTTACATGATGTTAATTGATATTGTGAGATATAGTAGATAGAGTTATCTGATATTGTGAGATATAGTAGATAGAGTTATCTGATATTGTGAGATATAGTAGATAGAGTTATCTGATATTGTGAGATATAGTAGATAGAGTTACTTGATATTAATTGATATTGTTAGATACAGTACTTAGGATTACTTAATTTTGGAGGATATTTTTCTAAATAGTTGGTAGTTAGGATAGAAGGAAAAACAGGGCAGAGAGGAGAGATTATTATTGAGTGGTAACTGTTGAGTTTGTGGCAGAGTCCAGGCTCTTGAATTCCTGGGGGAGAGTCATTTGTTGTCATTCTTTCTATTACTATCCTTTGGTGTTCCATAAATCCTGGGATAAGGGAGATCCTATAAATCAAAATATCTTCTGTTTTCCTTAGGCATTGCCCAAATTCTGGTCCAGTTTTATCAATCTCATCACAGAGATAATTGAGAATAAAAATCTCAAATTTACAGAAGAATACTCTCTGGTTTCTCTCTACACTATCATTTTCTTGACCTTTCTAGGACTTTCTTTCACTTTCTCATTCAAGCATATGTGCATTGTAACAACCTGCCCATGTGACAGGTGGGGAAGGAAAATATTTGGGTAGTGGGAATACCCATTTGGGTAAGAAACAAATTTGGGCAGTAGGAATATGATAAAAGGAGAAAAGAGGAGAGTGGAAGCGTATGCAAATTGTAAGGTTTGGAAAGGTAGGAAGTTTTTGTGATGTGATTCTTTCTTGTAATTAGGGGAATTATTCCTATTTTCTCTAATCAAATACTTGGGTTCCTATTTACCCTGAATAGGAGAAGATGCTTTCCAACCAAAATAGTGAAGCAAACCTCTATGGATTTCAGTTGAATTTCATGTTTTCTGTTATAATGGGTTCAGTCTTTATATGGTTAGGATTGTTTGGAGTTTGTTATTTTTGTCTCTTTCTCTCAGATGGTGGATTTACTTCTTAATCCTTATGATATTATTGTACAATGTTTGAGCAGATAAAGGATTTGTTAATCAGCAGGCCAATAAGTCAGAGTCCCCTGAGGAATTTGAGCAGCGGATATTTGGTGAAATTCCTGGGAGAAATTCCAAAAATGATGTCTTTTTTGAAAAGCTTAATCGACATATAAAGGCTCAAGATAGATCTAGTTCTGTAGATGGTGGAAGTTCCCAGATGATGCATGGTTTAGGAGAAGGTTTTGACACATTATCTGATGGAATGGATGGAAAACTGAAGAATGCTGCTACATACTTTGAATTTGATCCAGAAGAAATCGAAAAAGAAGATTATTCTTTTCGATATGATTCCACATTTTGGCCTGGTTCGACATATAGTGGAAAGGTATGTTGAATAGCAATGGCTAACATCCCTGATCATCACTGTTTTTATTTTTTATTTTTTATTTTAATTTTAGATATTCTGTGTAAATTTTATTTCTTTGATCTTTTTATTCTTGTCTTGGGCATGAGCATGAGGGCATCATATAGTTTATGTCTGAATTGGTCTTTGATGTAGTGATAAATCATATGCAGATGTTTGGTTAGAAGTATTTCATGAAGTATAGTGAAAAGTATTTTGTGAAATATTTTTTTTATGTTGGTGTCTTAAAGAGCACATGGAGCTTCTCCTATGAACAACTGAAAAGAATGCACAACTTAAAGTTAGCTCGTCATGTGTGTATCTATTATCATACATATGAAAGAATAGGGCTCTAGTAATTTCAAGTGTCAATTCTTTCTTTTAGCTACACCATTTTGTTGGGGAATATCCACACTTGAGTTCATGAATAATATCATGTTCCTTTGGAAAGATGGAGAAAGGTTGCTTTGCATACTCCCTACCATTAAAGTTCAATGTACATTCCAAACTGTATCTTAACCATATGATAAAAGTTAACAAGTAATTGATATACTTCTAATTTGTCTTTCATCAAGAACGGTGAAGTTACTTGATTACAATCATCAATGAATAAAACAAATCATTCTGTCCCAGAAATATTAGAAATAGAGGCATGCCCAAACATTAGAATGAATGAGAGAAAAAGGTTCAGCACTTTTATTAGAATTGCGAGAAAAGTTACACAATGTTTGGCCAATTCTCAGGCATCATATTGAAAAGACTTAACAGACTCTTTTGAATAGAAAGATGGAAACATGGATTTTAATAGAGAGAAAAGAGGGTGTCCAAGACGCCTATGTTGGAGCTGGATTTGTGAAGGCTCAGAGCTGGATTGATGACAAGAAGCGAGCAGCTTCTGATTGGGACTACCTTCTGAAAGCACCTTCATCATGCTTGGTGAGGAAATAATACAACTCCAATTGCACTCCCTGTCTTTTACAAGATCCTGGAAAACACAATGAGAATGGAAGAACGGTACTGCCCAATTTAAGTAATTTTATTAATGGATATCAGATTATTGGGAAGTTTGGAAACATGAAAAACATTTCTTAAGTCTATGAAAGGTTGGAGTTTGATAGTACCACAGCTAGCAATTGAGTCATGCGAGCCATCAACCACGGTTATAGTATGCTTACAAGAAGATGATTGGTAGGATAGAAAATTTGGAGACTAAAATTTCATATAGTCATTAGTCAGTAGTACCAGAGCTAATTACCCATGATTCCATGAATCTTCAGAGGCAATACTCAAAGCATTAAAAGAATGTGAATAGAAGTTTTTACCAGTCATAAATAGAGAATAGGATCCCGAAGGCTTACTAAGGGAGCTTGAGAGTTCGTAGGCCTTCTAAATGATCCTTGCTAAGGGCTATTACCTCATCTGCTACTGATGGGACCTTGCCCATGATTAGTTGTAAAGAATCAATTCAACCCAAAAACTTAAGCTGTTAGGTGAAGTTATCTTAATGGTTTTTAATACTTCTCTAACATGTCCCCTCACATGAGAGCCCACTGAGCTTGAAGGGTGGATAATGCACAGACCCACCTACCTGTGCTAAGAAATTCCACAAGACTTAATTAATTATTAATTAAATGAGAGGCGGTGACAATCAAACCCGTGACACCGAGGATCTAATACCATGCAAAGAACCAATTCAACCCAAAAGTTTAAGCTAGTAGGTGAGGTTACCTTAATGGTTTTTAATCTTCTCTAACATTAGTATATGAAGAATTAACATTGGCTTGGCTATATTGAAAACCCTTGAACCGTAGGTGCGACTAAGAACTTGCTCCTTCCTATGGAACTTAAGGCAGTTCTCCTTGGTGTGTCCATACTTCTTATAGTAGGAGCACCAACAGATGTCTTTATTATGTTTGGAAGAAGAGGGACTGATTTCGTAGGCTTACCCTTGATAAAAGCTGATCCATCATTGGACTTGTCATGAAGAGCAACAGCCCTATGGTTTTCTTCTCCTACAATATAGAACACTTAAGATAGAGAGGGTGTTTCTCCTTTTTCAGAATTTGAATTCTAATAGGATCATATTTCAGGTTCAAACTTGATAGCATTGAACCGTTTTTGCTGATATTCCTTACACAAGAAAAATTCAGAGTGGCATTTTTAGAATTTTGGTTGGCTGGACAGGATTACTGATACTTTCTCTTTCTCTCTGTTTTCCTTTTTAAATTCTGGTGATAATGTTGATAATTTCAGTCCATTGCATTGAAGGATTTAAATTACATGAAGTAACATATACACATTGTATTATTCAGATTCAATCAATAGTTTGGGTAACCAACAATGTTGTTAAATGCTTTTGAGCCTATCATCAGTTTTATTCTGCTTGCTTCTAAAAACAATTTCTGTGCTTGTGTGTCCTATTCACTGCCTGGTATTTACGACCTTTTCTCTGCTGTTTCTTTTGTATCAAATGTATCATAGTAGTATTGTGATGCTTGCAGTATCTTTCTTCATACAGGATCTTGATCTTAGAAAACCTGGGGTACGCAAACCTCCCGTAAGGGCTGAATTCAAAGTAACCACCAAAGAAGTTCTTAGTCAAGCAGATTTCAGGGTATGCACTTACGTTGGAGCAGTTCCTATGTAATAATGAGTCTCTGTATATTTTTTATCATTGATGTAGTAACTATGTACTTCTGATTTCTTTGTTAAATGAAAATTGTCACTTGCATTGAGTTTTTGTTTTTGTATATAACTATTATGATATAATAAAGGCTTTAACGTTTCTCCTGTCAGTGGTGACCCCATAATGACATTGTTTTGGGTAACAGGAGATAAAATTTTCTTGTGTGTAGTTATCATGTGACAGGAGAAACATTAAACCCTATAATAAAATGAAAACAAACTAGAAATTTTGTTAATTTGTGTGTAGTTTGTTGCAGAGTTATTTGATAGAGATAAAGCAGTAATGATAAAAACTGAATGTAACTGTTATCAAGGGTGTGCATGGTGACCCGAACTGATTTTTGTCTTGAACTGAACCAAATTATTTTATTTAATCCAAACCAGTTTTATTTTTCACGAACCGGTTTGGATCTAGTTCAGATCAACAATTCGGAACCGATTCATGTTTCAAAACTAGGTTATGATTTATAACCGGTTCAGAACCAGTTTGGATATGCAAACCGGTTATGAACTGGTTTTCCCAACTGATTCTTTTGGTTCGGTTCCTTTTTTAAATTGGTTTATAAAACCAGTTCGATTTTTAAAACTGATTCCGAAAAATGCAGTTTGGTTCTGTTAAGTTATTCTGCAACCATAACAATCAAAATTCTTGTGTATATGGTTAGGTCTTTTGTGTACAGTGTTGACTATCTTACCATTTTGGGATCGTTGGAAATGGTGTATGAATGAGTCAACCTAACACAGATACCATCTCAGCCTTTCCCATATGTATTAGTATTAAAACAAAGAAGACTCGGATGTAGGGCAACCTGGAGCTTTATAGTATAGGGCAACGAGATGCTGTAAAGCTCCCGCTCTATGCAGGTCTAGGGAAGCCTTTGCTTGCAGTTGCAAGAGGCTAATTACATGTGAACCTTAAAAAACAATGAATAACTTTTGCTTGGTTCCTTGAGTGAGCTCTACATAGTGAGCCTTCTTTAAATCTTTAGAGCCAGTTTGGTATCTCTTCAAAATTATGAAAATTTCAGGTTAATATTTTCATATCCAACTCATACCTAATCTTTTTCCCTGCTTCTTGTTATGTTTTTATGCTAAAGTCATCATTGATTTATGGTGATTCAGCATTTATATTGTGTGAGGGAAGTTGAAGGTGAGGAAGATATTTGTGACGACTCTATTCAACCACAGTAGCTTTTGCTTCCTTCTTGCTAGTGAGGCTATGATTTGCATGTTTCCCCTGATAAGAATAATAAAATAAATAAATTTTCCCATTAATGCTATTTTTGGAAGGTCTCTTAGGAGTATTAATATTTTTATGCAGAATGTTAGATTCCTGGCAAACTTCATAACAGAGGCTGGAATCATCATTAAGAGAAGCAAGGTAAGTTCTAATGCACTGCTGGGCAGTAGACTGGGAAAGAATGATATTGAAAATAAAGGATGGATGTTTGAGAATTAGTAATGCAATCATTTTCCTTTTTCTCCTTTTGTCCCTCCACCCAGTCATGTTATAATCTTTATTTTAAATTGTAGGATCTTACTAACTTGTTCTTGTTCACTGAGTAGACTGGCATTAGTGCAAAGGCTCAAAGGAAGGTTGCCAGGGAGATTAAGACTGCCCGAGCTTTTGGCTTGATGCCCTTTACAACCATGGGTACGAAGTCGTTTGTTTTTGGGAAAACTATGGAGAATCTTGATGATGACTTTGCCTACCAGAGTAATATTAGAAACATGCCTACTGAACCTGACATGGAAGGATACAACCCTTGAGAACATCGATATAGATGCTTATGTTTAGGGGTTGAAGTTGCTTGCATGGTCTCATCTGCTTTTTAAGCTTATGCTTATCTCCTTGTCCAAGATACAGTTGAAATTTATTTGAATCTTGAATTTGCATGTATACCTTGATTGCTAAGGTGCTTTTGTAGTTTTTACTTGTATATTATTTTAAAGCCAAATGGTATTATTGATTTGTACCTGAAAATTACAAGGATTGTCATCCTAAAATGCAAGTTGACCGTTCTTTGCACTAGAGCTGTAGAAGGTCTGGAGTCTAATTCATCTAATAAAAATGCAGGTTCATCCTTTACGTAGTGGGACTTACTGGAAGTCATTGTTTGTGTCACCAATCTGATTACATGCCTGGAGTTCCTCTAAACATTGTTGGTGTATCGTTTAGGTTTATTGAGCTGGAACCTGGATTATTGTGTTTCTTAGCTAATATAAAGAAACAAGTCTAAGGCTTATTTATGAGTTGTCACTTGCTCCTCCCTTAACTAAGCTTGTTTAGATGTATCTCACTAAAAGTATAGAAACAATGTCTTAGCTTAGGGGTTTTAAGCTGAAATTTGGTATTAATAGAAAAGGATAATCGTCTCCAAAATAATAAAGGAGAGTCAGTAGAGGATAGAATAGAAATCTGGTAGAAAGACTACAAAATTCAAATCCTAAAAGTGAAGCTCTGGTGCTGTGATTTAGCATTGTGTATAACCTAAAAATGCATGTAATTTGTTCTCTAATTTTCATTTTTCTTCAACGGTTGCAATTACACATTACATATTCTAATCATGTTGACTCATTAATATAGAGTTATCACATGGTCTCCTTAGTGTAATATGACTACCATTTGTTGTTGAGTAATGTTGCTCATTATATAATGTGCAACTCATATATAATTTATAGAGGGGATGTTGGATTGAGCACTTATCATTAGGTCAAAAACTATAATTATTAGTGAGGATTCAATTATTTTTTACTTATTTTCATTAGTTCAAATGTTATGATTTGATTTGATTCTGACTCATATCAGAACTTTGCCAAAGTATGATGTGGTCTCACTAACAAGGGATTGTGCTGTATAAATGTCGCTGAATAAAAGAGGGGAAAAAAGGAAAGAAAAAAATAATGATATTAATGAGAGCTATATAAAAAACTTTTTTTATGTGTAATTAACATTATTCCTTCTTGTTAGTATAACAAGTTTAGCCTGGTAAGGCTCAGCTGCTAACACTTCGACCCAGTACAGATATCATATGGGTGCTTAAATTTGGATCTGAAGGTACCTATTTGACTTCTTTACTATACTATTGTACTTCATTGTTTGAATGGAATCTTTTGTATTTTAAATGGTGAATGTGCTTGATTTGCATGCAGTTGGATTTTCTTGAGAAGCTCAAACGGCAGTAACCTTTAAAAAAGTTTAAACACGATTTTAGTGCTAAATTAGTTATATATTATGCAATTGGTTATTAATTTGGGCTTCTGCTACATCACATACGGTTAACCGGTGGAATTTTCTTGGAACTTGATAGAAGATTCCAATATTTCTCAGTAGTGGCTTCTAGTTTTAGTTTATATATGTGATATATACCACGGATAACGAGGGTTGATTTCTCAGTTGACATGGGGATTAAGCTCCTAACATGAATGCTGGCATGTGAGCTGCATAATAGAAGCCTGAGAATATGCTATCAGAAATTTTGTACGAACATGACTTTAAGGCAAGTGGCAGCAATTTAATATTTGCTATATGACTGAAACATGTGTTGGACTAGTGTGTGCATGATACTGCCATAGCAACTTGTTATTTCAAAGATAAAGTCTCCTAAGAGATTCAATCCAAGGGAAACGATGACATGATTATTTCTAAGATAGGACAATTTCTTAGTATCCGTGTAGTACTATCAACTTGTCTATTTGTGGATCTCATTGGGCATTCTGAGATCTTAAAGATTTAACTTCAAATTAAATGATTCATTATATTTTTAAAGATGAAACTTGTAACCCCGTAATCATTTTGACTCTTATACAATGATAAATAACTATCTCAAACTTATAAATAATGGGCCTTCAATAATTTTATATTATATCCTTCTAACATATATTTTTTGAGATAATATGGCTATGAAAATTCACCATTACACAAAAAAAAAGTAATTTTTTTTATATATATAGATATTTTGCTTACCTCCCTCACATAACATCAATTATCACTATTTCTTTTCTTCCTCTTCTCTCTCTATTCTTCTCATTTTTTTTATCATCAAAATTTAAAATCAACAGATAAGATCATCTTTTGGTATGTGAAACTTACATTTTCCCTTCAAGGAATAAGCGTCTACAAATAGAATAAACTCAGATACACCTTTGACTTTGAGTTGCCTTTTTGAGTATAACAAACTGAAAGTTGTTTTTATTTTATTTTTTATCAACATTAGGCAATGTTTCGTTAATGTAGGATGTTTTCAAGAGCCAGTAAATTGAACTATGGCACTCTTCACTATATATAGAAAATAGAACACGTACAATTTACTTCAGAACATGTTTATATTTTCAAGGAAGAGTATCTTAAATTATTTCTGTTTTGGAAATTTGAACTAGACCCTGCTCTCCTAATAAATCTTTGGTGCTACCGTGAATTTTGGTGCAACAGTAGCACCAAAGATTTATTCTCTCTGACTCTTGATGTTTGACCTTCAATACTTGTGTCTTTAATAAATTGATGTTTAAGTCACTTTGAATGGAAGAGCTTTCACTGCATGATCATTAGTTTGCTACTGAATGGAAAAATATGAGGCTTTGTTTGGTATGAGAGTTCTTGATAATGGGATGTTATGAATAAACAGAAGAATGCCAAAACATTCAGCTATAAAAACAATTAATCTCTAGAATAAGTGATTTGGACAATGAAAGTCATACATAATCCTTGCTTCATAATTCCCAAAAGGGTTTCTCTTACATCTAATTGAACTCACTCTTCTCACTTTCTCAGTCTCTCGCATACACTGGATTGATAATAAGGTGCAAAAGAAAAATATAAAAAAAGGATAAAAATTGCAAAATCTTATACTATCTGCACAATGGACTATGAGGATGGTGAGAATAAGGAAGCTGGTTTTCTGAGGAGCAATATCCCATTACCTCTTCCACACTTAATCTACATTCCTGAGTGGAAGAAAATTTGTCCTTTTTTCCTTCCACCATCTTCAAGATACTCTCAAAAACAGATGCTTCACAAGGAATCCTCAGAACACCAGTTTGTTGAAAACCAAATTCTTCTTCTGCTTCTTTCAGGAGAATCTGAAAGGACTCATGACCCAAATACTCTGTTGGTATAATGAACCTCTTTAGCTCTTCACCAACACAAACAGCTAAGTAGCCCTTTGGAACAACATTGTTTGATCCTCCCTCACGTTCTGATAAAGAAAGTGTTCTTTTCAGAAACTTAATGCTTTTGCTGCTGCTGCTGCTGCTGCTGTTGTTGTTACTAGTGCTGGTTTTTGAAGAGATGGCTAGCCTTCTCCATTTCTTAAGGATCTGTTGAAGTCTAACAATTTCTCTGATCTTGTTAGATTTCTTTAGATCCATGGACATGGTGCTTCTCTTTCTGAGGTTTTGGTTTGTTTTGTATTAACTCTGGCTATATTAGATTACATGCTTCCAATTTATAGAAGACTTGAGAACTTGGTGATTCTAATTCCCATTTTCCTAATTATAAAAAAAAATCATTTTTTTTTAAATGAAGAATATTATAATCAGTCTTTGAGTTTTCAGTGTCACATGCATGAGAAAACCAACAAAACTTTTTCAGGTTAGTATGAGTTAAAAAGACTTCAAAGTTGAAGTTGTGTCTCCCAGGTTTCACATGTGAGTGATTACTGTTACTCTGAAGTCTGAACCTTGATTTTGCAAGCTAAATACATATGGGGTTGGTTTTTTTAAATCACGGGTGACCAGAGAACTTAGATCCTATGAGTAAATTATCAATTATTAAACACATTTTGCTATATTAAAGTCTTTGATAGGCTCTGACAGGTTTGGTTTCCAATGCAAACTGCCCTTAACAGTCAAGGTACCCTCGTACAATACAATTGTACCATTCAAACCTCTTTGTTTTTTTTTATTGCATTGCTTCTTATTTCAACTGATCTGAAATAAAGTCATTTTTGGGATTTCCAAGATAACCCCATGTGGCATTGCATAAATGACACATACAGACGGTGGCTGAATCAGTTGTAGGACTTTAATTTCCTAGGTCCAAGCGAGAAAATTTTCAATACACCAGGATTATTGAATTTGGTGTTTTTTATACTAAAAAGGAAATTTTTTAGGACATAAAAAGAAATTAATAAAAAGTATGGATAAAAAAGGGATTTTTTTTTTCTTTTTAATGAAAAAAAACCGTTGAAGTTTTCCTTAGTCCAAGTCCAACTTTAAAGTTTAAACTGAAACTCTTGCACAACATGTTTAATATATATATATATATATATATATATATATATATATATATATAGGCCTTAACATTTCTGCAGCTGCCGTAGATAGTGTTATCTACAGCTGACACAAAACAAATGGGCCCCACGACTTAAAAAAAAAAAAAAACTCAGGATCCGGTGTCGTATCCTAGGATCCGGACGCAGATCCTTACTTGCTGTAGGTACAGCAGCTGCAAAAATCATTTTGCCATATATATATATATATGTGTGACTTATCGTTTCTCAAGTTACTTGAGATAATTTTATTTTCGGCTACTAAATCATAATCGTACAAAGATAGATCAATGGTGATAAAGAAATAGAGAGAAAAAGGAAATTATAACTATTCAAAGGTAAATTAATTAAAATAAGAAAATAGGAAAAAAGTATACTTATTACCTTTTTTTCTTAGTACCTCCTACTACCAAATCTTAATCGTTGATTTTCGTCAATCTAACTGTTATAATTTATTAGAATTTAATAATTAATTAATAAGTGTGACCTAATAAATTGTAACCGTTAGATTGACAGAAATCAACAGTTAAGATTTGATAGTGAGAGATAGTCAGAAAAAAAGTAGTTAGTATAATCTCCCCTAAGGAAATAAAAAAACAAAGCTAGTTTTGGTGTGACCAAAAATAAATATATCTTTAGTGTCTTGAGAAATATTTTTTATATATATATCTAGGATCAGGATCATTACACCAGTGTAAAACTAATAAGTCTTACATCACATCTCAACCGTTGATTTCTATGCATCCATCAGTTATAATTTAGGAAGTCATACGAAATAATTAATCATTAATTACACTACAAATACCAACCGATGATTTTCATCTGTCAACAGTTGAGATGTGATGTAAGACTTGTTAGTTTTACACTGGTGTAAGAAGAACTTACCCTATATATATATATATATATATATATATATATATATATATATATATATAATGCAGCCACTTTATGTACAACAACGACAGGTGTATGGTTATGATTCCTCACATTTAATGCTTTCAAGTATTTAATTGTTGCACGTACAGCAGCTGCAGAAATGTAAACCCATATATATATAGGGAAATATTACTCTCCTTTCACATGAGGTAACTTATCTCATTTTCTCTCACTTCGATTTTCGCACCCTACTTTTTTTTCTTTTTCTTTTTTCTTACAATAATGGGACCCACTCATTTTCTCTCTACCACATAAGATAACTATCTTATGTGGAAGGAGATTAATAAAACCCATATATATATATATATATATATATATATATGGTTCATTTTTTCTGCAGTTAATGCAGATAAGTTATCTACATTGAGCTCAAAACGACGTCGTTTTGTGGCGGAAATCAAGGTGTTTTTGTAATTTTAATTTATTTCAGGGTTATAATAGTCTTTATAATTATAATTTTTTAATATTTCAACACCAAAACGATGTCTTTTTAGAAGTAAATTCAGATAACTTATCTGTAGTAACTGCAACAATATTTTTCTGATGTATATATATATATATATATATATATATATATATATATTAGTCTTATATTAAATAAGTTAAAAAAAGAAGAGGTGAAGCTTCTGATTATAAATAATAATTAAACTCTTGTTTACAATACAAGTTTTTAAATGTCAAAATGCGAACTCTTTTAGAATGTTATTTATATGATAAAGGAAAGAAGTATGATATATATCGATGAAATAAATAATGTTATTAGAAATATTTGGTGGAGCAGTTCGGTGCAGTGTTTTAAAAATCCCACCTCATCCTATCCCTCGAGTTGATCCGGGTCAACCTCAACCCCTTCCCTCTGAGGGTTGGGTCACGAGTTGGGCCCTATATGTACATCGACCCTTCCGACCTCCAAAATTTAGTCAGGTTTCAGTGAGTCTCGGGTCAGAGAGATCAAAGGGGGTCACTGCATGTTTTTTTTTTTAATTCTATGAAACAATGTCGTTTTATTAAAAAATAAAAAATAAAAATGCTTACAAAAAAAGGTTACAACAAAGGTATTATAATTTATACATACATGTTTCCAAAAAAAATAAAATAATAATTTATACATACATTAATTGTTTATTTTCTTTCAGACAAATATATGTCTATATTTGTTGATGTTGAATATTGGAAAAAATAGGAATCAATTGAAGCACCAAAATTATGACCCAATTAATTTGGAAACAATGGATGATCATTCTACTAGTTGGGTTCTTGAGGAGTCACCACCATCATTAACCGATGAAGAGACAAGATCTTTGAGGAATAATACCATTGAACCAATTATAGATAGTATTGGTATGTTTCTTTATGATTATAATTCTATTGTTTAATTTGATGATTTGATCACGTTATATTACTTATTAACTTACATATAATATGTTATTGTAGATGAATTGAATTTAGATGACGATGATGTAGATAATGAACCTCATGTGGCCATTGTCTCCCAAAATGAAAGCAATGTTCCTCGAGGTTTGGATAGCAATGGTAGAGAAGGACAAAGAGAGCTTGAATTTGATGATGTTACTTTCCATTAACTCTATTAGAATATGAGTTTTGTACTTTCGTATCTTGATACTTTAATTAGGTTGTGTAATATTGACTTGTGATTATAATTGATAAATTATGTTAAGTATATTTTGAATCTTTGATAATTGGTGATTTATTTTTTTTATATTTTCATATAGGATATATATGTTTATATTTTTTTAATATATAAAATTGGGTCAGCGTAATGACTCCCTGGTTGAACCCGTTATCCCTGACTGCAGTCGGATCGATGGCCGGGCCGAATTTTTAAACACGTGCCATTTCTCAACTGCTATAAATGATTTAGGATTTACGGTAGAAATATTTATTAATGTAGTGCAAATTCCAAATTGAATACGTAATTTGGCTACTTTGATATTTGGGAATAAAATAGAATATCATAACTTGAATAGAATATCTAGGCAAATGGAATCACACCATTTTCTTGCTTCTTTTTTTCATTTTATTATTTTCTAATTAGATGACACATAAAATAAACAAAAACCCATTTGACTTTAACTGTATTATTAGGTAATGATTGGAATATCGTTAGAGATGCTCCTAACATAACATGCATGATCCGCACTCCGTTGCACGCACCATATGAGAGAACTTGAATTGAGGGGAGTGTGTGTGAATTTTTTTTTTTAAGTTACTTGTAAAATTTGATGAGATGTTCCTTAATCCATAATCAAATAATTGGAATAAAAAAAACTATACTTGGTATTGTCATAGGCAACCTGCTTCTAGGAAGTTTCCTGGGGGCTTAAATTAAAGTCCATTGATCTTATTATAGTTCATTAAGTATATATTTTTCATTGATTGATAGAGAGGAATAGCATGATTTATAAATGAATCTGCGTATCTATGAAAATGACAAAACACCTACTCCAATTTTCAGGATAAATTCTATATTCCCTTGCTATAAATATTAATAATTGGAAAAAAAACATCAAACATATAATAAAAATTAATTAACAGTTATAATTAAAAATAGGAGTATAAAACAAATTTGAAATTGTTAAGCAATTTTATAATTTTTTTAGCTCAACAGCTATTTTAAAACCCAAGTTACAAAAAAGTCGTTTGGTAAAATATTTTATTCAAGCTCTAATTTAGTTAAAATTATTATAAAGGATATATAATTATACATTTTTATATTATTAAATAAATGCTAATAACAATACTCAAATTTGGAATTTGGATCCGACCCAATAATTTACACCTCATCCATGAACATTTTTCAAAAGCTTTGTTCAAAGTTTATATTCTCCACAATCTTTCATATCATGATGAAAATTGCTATGTGAGCCTTCCAATCAACACATCGCCGTTACGTTGACGTTATCGGTGGAACCCACCACTTGATCTCTATGTTAAGAAAACTTTCAACATACACTTGTAATGTAACGCATCATAACGAGACACGTCACCTAACTTCATTATCTCGAAGATTTTCGATACTAGGCCCACATAGTGACACTCGTAGTTAAAATTCTGATTTAAATATGTGGTTTTATGATTTTACGATTTTTTTAATCAAAATAATTTTATTAAAATTTCAAACGCTTTTATGTTTTTACGATTTTTTTT